GTATACCATATTCTATAAAAGAAAGTAACTAAGAATAGCCCACACTTAAGGAGTGGGAGTTACACTCTACCTCTAAGTGTGTAGCATCTACAACAATTGTTTGGAATTCTTCTCCATGGGATATTTGTCTATTCTCCAAATTTTATTTATTTACTCAGTAATTTAATTATATAAGGCTTTCCTGGTGGCTTGGTGGTAAAGAATCTGCCTGCAGTGCAGTAGACCTGGTTTCGATCCCTGGATTGGGAAGATCCCCTGGAGAAGGGAATGGCAACCCACTCCAGTACTGTTGCCTGGAGAATTCCATGGACAGAGGGGCCTAGAGGGCTCTAGTCTCTGGGGTCACAAAGAGTCAGACACTACTGAATGACTGAATGACTAACACTTTCATTTTTATTTATATCAGTAAGGAATCATCAATATTTATTTTATACTTTGGGTTATAATCCAATACTAGTTTATTTTGTCACTCAAATTATTCCAGCTTTGGACATGAGAACTCTTTCACTTGACTCCTGTGCTCCTTTTAGCTCCATCGTTGTAGACTTTTTTCTTTTACTCTTCTGTTTTTATCATTTTCTTACTTTCTGGCAGTACAAGATGCTCCAGCCTCACCTTGTATGTTTCCAATCCCAGCCTAGATTCAGCCATTCTCCAAAGTGCTCTGGTTCCTTTTATTGGAGAATGGTTTGAGAAACCAAGATCTGAGTGCTGAATATGCTCATTGCTACTGGGGTGTTGTTGCTTCTAGGCTTTCTTAGCTGACAAAGCAAAGAAATAACTGCTTATACTACATGCAATGATTAGTTTTTCTGTGTCAGCTTGGCTAAGCTATAGATCATTCTACCTTTCCCTCCTTGTTCAGTTGAAATCTTGCACTCCAACAAGGAGAAACCTGACTTCCAGAATCAACCACCCTTATATTTAATTGCTCAGTTTCAGTATACATATAGAATGGCTTCAGAATTGTTAACTCATACTTTTGTGAGGAACGACTATATCAACTAGAATACAGTGCTTATGTACAGTTCCTTTTTAGTCTTACAAACTCCATTCATTTTTTTTTAAAATATGTATTTATTTATTTATTTGGCTGCACTGGGTCTTAGTTGTAGCATGCGAGATCTATTTCTTCGATCAGGGATCGAAGCTGGGCCCCCTACTTTAGGAGCACGGAGTCTTAGCCACTGGACCACCAAATAAGTCCCTCCACTCATTTCCAAAGTTCCTTAGATCAGCACCTTTTTTCCCCCATCCTTTTCAGGGAAGTAATGTCAGACATTTCTAGTGCAATTAGATTCTTTTGTCACATTCTTCATTCTATTCTAGCA